TTAGTGCAGAATATGCATTTCTTTATTGTACCATACAATTTAGCATTTCTTAATGCATCAAAAACTTGTCTAACATGCCCAAGATGATCCTCCAAACATATACTATAGACAAGTATGTCATCGAAGTATACCATAACAAACTTTCCAATAAATTCTCTCAACACATGGTTCATCAATCGCATGAAAGTGTTGGCGCATTTGTCAACCCGAATGGCATGACTAGCCACTTGTATAATCCAAACTTGGTTTTAAAAGTTGTTTTTCACTCATCTTCCGGCTGTATACGAATTTGGTGGTAGCCACTTTTTAAATCAATCTTTTTGAACACCTGTGCTCCATGTAATTCGTCAAGCATATCATCTAGAAAGACATCCTCAAACTCCTTAAGCAAGTCTACAAAAGGAGGAGAATGAATCAAAATCTATCACAAGTATATCTTTTAGTAAAAGAATATAAAAGTAACTTCCCTCATCTTGGTTACTGTTTTGGCGAATTTCGTTATTGAACTCTTTGAGACTAAGCAATATTTTGCCGTCGTCCCCCCCCCCCCCCCCCGAAGATTTCGCCGAAACTGTAGTGGCAGCCCCCTTTTGTTTCACCACATCACACATAGATCTACCCAAGTATTCAGCATCACGACGTACGGCCTCAGGTGGTAGGGAAGAAATGCTCAGCTTCTTACCATTCTAAGAAAAGGTTATTTGATTTTTGTACCAATTGTACAAGACACGCCGATCAAATTGCCAAGGACGTCCCAAGAGAAGATGACATGCGATCATGGGACACACGTCACGAAACACATCATCGTTGAATCCACCAATGGAAAATGTCACTCTTGCTTGCTTATCCACACGAACAGCCCCTTCGTCACTCATCCAATGTAAACTATATGGTTTCGGATGAGCGGTAGTATTTAAACACAACTTCTCTACCATATACGAACTAACAACATTAGTGCAACTGCCCGAATCAACTATCATGGATATGGTACGCCCTGCTACCTTGCAATGACAATGGAACAAATTTTCTCATTGTTCATCTTCCCTACGGTTTGCATCTTCACGTGGTAGAGATGTCAAGGCTCGCATCACCATTAAACTTAAAGGATCCTCATCACAAACTTCCTCAACAACATCACATTATCTTCAGCAACTACTACGTCATCACCATCACCATCACCATCGCCATCATCTACATAACCCCATTCGTCATTCTCTAAAATCATAACAGTCCGCTTATTGGGACATTGGCCTACATAGTGCCCTTGCCCATGGCACTTATAACATGTCACAATCTTCTCTTTCCTATGCCCCAACTCCTTTCCCTTGAACCTTACAACAGCATCATCCTTTTTGTCTACTATTTTCGCCTTGTCTTTATCCACATTTTTATCAGAAGGCCTTGTGGAAACTACTCCCTTAGAACCGGTGGAAGAGAAGAACAAAGTTACAGCGCTGGTTGGAAACTTCCTTTAATAGGAATGCCCGGTTGATGTTGGTCTCTTGAGCTGATCCTCCTATTTGATTGCCAAATCCACAGCTTCCCGAAGAGAACAAAAATGGTGCAGCTCAACCGTATCGGCTATCTCACGCCTCAAACCCTTAATGAATCAAGCCTCTGTCAAGGATTCACTCTCATCAATGTCCAACCTCATCATCAAAATTTCCAGCTCCTTAAAATAATCTTCTACCGACTTCGAACCTTGCACCAAGGATTGCAACTTAATACTCATATCCCGCTCATAACTATCCGGCACAAAGCGTCTCCTCATGATCTCCTTCAGTCGTGTCCAAGTATCAATTGAATTTCTTTGATGTCGCTCCCTAAAGTGTCTCTCCTTCTCCCACTAAGTCAAGGAATAATCTCTGAACTCATAGATTGCCATGCGGAATTTCTTGCCTTCCGAATAATTGTGATAGTCGAACGCCATATCACACTTGGTTACCCAATCCAAGGAACTCCTCCGCCCCGCCTAATCCTCCGAAAGTGGACAGGGTAATCTTAATGGTGGAGAGATCGTCATCCAACCCACTGCACCGATGATGAGTTCGATCATTGAACAAGTAATCCGAAGTGTGCTATAGTGTGAGACCGACCTCATCAAAGGGCTCAAATCGCGGTGATGTGAAGATTCAGCCACGGCTTCTTTTTCCCGAACAGTAGCAGCTACTCCAAAAGGGATCCCTGTTTGAGCATTCTCCAAAAATGATAGTCTATGATTGATATCATCCAAATTTTTATTCACGGTATACTCTACATGATCCCAAGTCGTTTTTTGTTGCATGGACAATGTTTTCTCCATATTAGCTTCCAATTGCTGCATATTAGACTCCAATAGTTCCTTCATTTGTTCAAAAGAATCCATCTTGCACTCAAAAGACAAACTATATATGTATATCGAAATGTTAGTATCCTCACTCTCATTCACAACACTCAGAAGGAAAAATCAAAAACAACCACGATCATGAAAGGGAAGAAACGAGCGCAACTACCTCAAAACAGAACGTAGGAATCCTTCAAATGCAATACTCAAGAGAAGCATGAAATACAGACGCATCAACTAGGGGAACAAAACTAGAAAATTCGACCCCAAACTATAAGTGCGGAATGTCAAATAAAGGTCGATACAAATACTTTTCCTCAATTAAGCAACTAGTCGAAATCAAAATCCTAACGCATAGGTGAATAAGAATCATCAACAAACTCTCAACACACTCAAGAGACAAACCCAGTGAAACAACTCCCACAACACGGACTAGGAACCCTTAAAATACAACATGACTACTACAAGAATATTAATCGATGCACTGTAATAGAATACTAAGGTGTGTTGCTCAATTTTTTTTTTTTGTTTCTATTTTCTTTATATATATATATATTATGCTCTAGGTTTTTACTTCATGTTAGCATGCCTTTTTCAAAACTGGATTGCCATCTTGGCTCTTTCAATGCAATTTTGCCACACATTTTAACAAAACATAGGGCAGTGCATAACAGCTAACTTCAAACGCAATTTTAGAGGGCTATTCACGTCCAAATATCATGATTCCAAAACTTACAATCGAATTCAAGGAGTTATCTAACAGAAAATACAAGAATCACTCAGAAAATCCTAGCCAATCAAGAGCAGTTAATAAAACAAACCGACTGCTCAAAACAGAAAACAGAAAGTTCAACCCCAAAACTTTGTACTGACCGATCTCTGTATTCCAGGAATTTTTAGACGATTTTGAGATCGAAGCACTGCAAAGAAGTGCTCACTGTATAGAAAATTCAATGCCAATTCTGAAACCTCCTCACAATCTAGAATCGGAGTTTGTATGCAAAAGCTACGGCCAAAATACGATCTACCAACAAAACTCAGAAATTTCACTCGATTCACCCCCAAATCACTCAATTCTTTGATCACCTTGATGCGATTAGACTCTAATTCAACTATATTGATTAATCAAGGCCTAAGAACACTTAGAAAACTATGAACAAGGCTTGCTAGTGCCGGCCAAAAATTACTACTAATTGTATTTTTTAGATCAAATTCAAGAACACTACTCACATTTGACAACTAGCAATGGATTGGAACTAGCATTCATTTCTAACAATTATCAACTATTTCCAATAAAAAAAAATTCAATAAATCTTCATCACGGACTGGAATTTATAGATTTCCAAACAAAATATAATATCAAAAACAGACTGGAAAAAAAAACGGATTGGATCAAAAAAGGCATTGAGACATATGATAGAACACATTGAGATCAACTCGAAACAAGTATGATAACCGCTCTGATACCAAATTTTTATGACATGGATAGGATCAAATCTATGACATCTAATTTCAATTCAAGAAAAGAATCAACTACGAAATCGAATAAACGAACCGGCGGATAATTTGGAATCAATCGACGAATACTCCTCTCGAGCAAACACATTCTTGAATCCACACGAACTGTTTGAGGCTTGTGAATGCTTCTTCCATCTCTTACGTAAGCTGCATTCCGAAGGCTAAAAAATTAGCCCTCTCGGTTGATTGGAATTGCTCCAATGGATGGTTGGAATCTCTCTGAAAGGAAGGGAACTTCTCTGAAAATGTATGGAATGAATGTTTTGTAAGTAGAATACAAGGAATATATGCTAAGAAGGCCTAATATAATCTGGGCCATACATCTAATCTTAAAATCAACGACTCACAACCTCTAAACAAAATAATGTCTTTGATCGAGTACAAGTCGCGATTGGTCAGTTGATATTCGGGTTTGGGTCACCCGATACCATGTCAGAGAGCCTTTGATAGGGAAGATCCAATGCCCTAATGTACGTATGCATGTTTAAAGGCTTAACGCACAATTACTGCTGCAGCTGTAACTTTTTCACCAATAAATAAAATTTACATGCCCTTCCTTCCTATATTGCTTGTTTCTCAATAATTGTTTAATTTGGTGGTATTCACTTATTTATTGCCAGCGGCATGTGACTAGAAGAAACACATGCAAATGCAATTGTATATGTGTGTATATATATATATAATTGTACGTTCTCTGATTCCAATGGTGCTACTTGATTGATATAGTCAAACTTATTATACTCTCAACTCAAGACAGACTAGAAACTCATGCAAATGCAAATGCAAATGCAAATGCAATTTGCTTGCTGAAGCGATGTCATATTGCTACTCATTCCTCACGTTGGACAGAAAATGCTTTCCTTAAGTAAATGCCGAATCTAAGAGGGCAGGCAATAAAACACACAAATAAATGTCTCCTCCTCCTTATTTTTATTACTATTAATGAATGGAGTGCATGTGACCGCCGTCCACCATATATTACCATCATTTATTTCTACATGGAGTATTGTATTGTACTGTACAAACATAAATAAATAAATAAAAGGGGAAAAAGTAAGTAGTATTATACTGTACTATAGTTTAATAGTTGACTCTGGCGAGGAGAGGAATCTCATCACTTAATTACTCACTAACTCACAAGTTATATTATTATATTCTTGCTTCTCTCCTCCAGACCTCCCCACCCCACCCCAGTTCAGATCGATCTCTCTCTATATAAACACAGACACAGAAGCCCAGAAGGAGAGAGAGAATGGAGTCGTCATCGGGAAAGTCTAACAAGATAAGAGACATTGTTAGGCTTCAACAGATCTTGAAGAAGTGGAAGAAAGTTGCCCACACCAGCGCCAAGGCCAAGGCCACTGACTCCTCATCTGCTGCTGCGACTAATAGTAGTAATAGCTCATCATCGTCGTCGTCATCGAGTGGGAACAGGGGCATAAAGTTTCTAAAGAAAACACTGTCCTTTTCGGACTTAGGTGCAGGTGGTCATGTTCCAAAAGGGTACATTGCGGTTTGTGTCGGGAAAGAAGAGAAGAGGTTTGTGATCCCGACTGAGTATTTGAGTCAGCAGCCCTTTGGCCTTCTGCTCACACAAGCCGAGGAGGAGTTTGGCTTCCAGCAACAAGGGGTCCTCAAGCTGCCATGTCCAGTCGATTTGTTCCAGAGTATACTCAACACCATGGAACACCTGGTGGAGCAAGACAAGAATAATAATAATAATAATAATAATCCTATTATGAAGCTGAAGAATAACATTGACATAGCTGCTCATCAATGCCATCATCATCAACCGGGCACTAATGACGACGACGACGACGACGTAGCTCATCATCGCCATCTACTACTACTGCAACACCACTTCTCTAAGACCCAGTTGTGCAAATGACCACGATTCACCAATACTAATTACTGCATACATTTACTATTTTTTATTACTATTATTATTTTTTCGATTAATTCTATCTTCTCCAAAAGGCATTATAATTTATTTATTAGTCTGTATTCTGTTTCCGGCCGGATATATATATCAATATATATATATTATATAAAGGCATGTGATGTAGCATCCTTGTGTTGTTGTGTTATATTGGAGACATACAACTTTCTTGATCATTCACTCGCATGCAGTCCTCAACAAATTTGCGTGCCCCAGAAGTCAACATAAATACGCTTTTTTTTTTAAAAAAAAAATTGTTATTAATTAGATCTATCCTCTTTACTTTACTTGTGAAACTACTTATTAATTAATCAATTATCAATAATGATAGTAGTATGTTGAAATGCAAGCAAAGAGACAGCGGCTGATCCTTCTATCCACTGGCGCCACCACAGCCTGCCCCACCACCTGTCCCATCTCCCAGGTCTCCTCCGCCGCTACCACCACCACTTTCTTCTCCGCATCTCTGCCACCTACAAAACCCCCACCGCCAAAGCCATCACCAGCACCACCGCTGCAGCCACCATCAGGCTCCACTACCACCATCACTTCCTCCACCACCACCATGGCAGCTTTTTAACAAGAGAAATGTGAACATCTGCTCTGCTCAGGTTCATAGTTTAGAGGATAATAATTTAAATTTTATTTATTTCCTAGTGATAGTGATGATATATTTTGTATATATGACCTTTTTATTAAATATATTTTTTATTTTTTAAGATTCATGATTATATTTGTGATAATATTATTTTAAAAATATATTTATCATATATTACCCCATAATTTAATTTTTGATCGAGACTTTGAAAAAGTCTGAGACGGCCTGACCGCCACTTGCACAACTCATCATCATCTTCAAAGATCAAGATCCAACGATTCATATTGGGTCAGCATGATCCGTCCCGAAGAGATAAACTAAAGATTCAAGTAGATCAAATTCATAGGGATGGGTGGTACGGACTGATGCAACATTAATTAATTAATTAAATCTCACATGACATGCATGTGCGCCATCTATGGAACCAACTCCCGCAACAAGAGCAATTGCATTAATTATTTTCATCGGGAATAAATAATCCTAACCGACCCAAATATATTTAATTTGTTGGGAAATATATATAAAATTAACTGTGTTGGTGGCAACATTAATCATTCAAACTCGCACATGATATGCATGTGCATTCTATGGATCCAAAACAAGATCAGTAATATTTCTTCTTCATCATTACTTGTTCTCCCTTTTTCTTTTATTTTTTCCCCTAAATTTTGAACTTTCAGTGCCCGCCATTTTCCAACCTTCGCTGCCGCCAGATGATGCTTGCCGTTACCCTTCAACGTTGCCGCGTGCCCATGGTCCTCTTTCAGTGAGCGATTGCGAGGAGATGGACCCAAAGTCGCCGTCGGTTAGTCGAGAAGGTTTTTTGGTCTGTGTAGATGGGAAGATTAAAAGCGATGCAAGGAGACGAGGAAGATGACAAGCGAAGTGGGATTGTAAAAATGAGTCACAGAGGTGTGTTTGTCTGGGGGTTTGGATGAATAGTAAAAATTTTGAATTTGAATAGTTGTATGATGTGATATAAATAGGTGTTGATGTGATGTTTTGAATGTAAAATTGATTTTTAGTATAATATAAAAAATAAAAAATAGGTGTTTGATTTTGTTGAGATATTTTAGATATTCAGTTTTAGATTAAGTAGATTTATATTTATATTTGATCTTATTCATAGATTAAATTACTTAGATTTGAGTCTATCGAGTCTGTTTTGTATTGTCTATATATAGGCTCCTTATTTTGATAATTAATAAGAAAATCTCATTATTTTTCCCTAAAATTTCTAACATGGTACCAAAGCTTATTTTTCTCATGCCGTAGATATAGTCTATCAACCTGCGTTTCTCCGGGTATATTCAACCTGGATTGTACCCGGAGGTCTTGTGATTGTGAAATCATGCTATCTACCATTTGTCTGTTGTCTGCGTCCAATTTGAAATCTATCTGCTATCTGTTTGTTGCCTGCATGCAATCTGAAACCCGTCTGCGATTTGTCATCTATCCGCTGCTTGTCTGTTACCTGCGTGCGATTTGAAACTTGTCTGCGATTTGCTATCCGTGCGCTGCTTGTCTGTTGTTTGCGTGCGATTTGAAACCTGTTTGTGATCTGTCATCTGTCCGCTGCTTATCTGTTGTCTGCGGCGCGATTTGAAACCTGTCTGCGATCTACCATTTGTCCGCTTCTTTTATGTTGTCTGCGTGCTATATGAAGCCTGTCTGTTGCCTGCATGCGATATGAAACCTGTCCGTGATCTGCCATTTGTCCGTTGCTTGTCTATTGCCTGCGTGGGATCTGTTTGGTATTGCGATCTATCTGTTTTTCGCCTTCGGTGGAGTTATGTCGTTTTCGGCTTCGTGGAGAGTCATCTCATTTTAGGCTCCGGTGGAGTCATCTCGTTTTCGGCTCCGGTGGAGCCCTGTCATTTTTTGCTCCAGTGGAGTCATATCGTTTCGGCTCCGGTGGAGAGTCATCTCATTTTCGACGGCTCCGGTAGAGTCATCTTGTTTTCGGCTCGTTTTCAGCTCCGGTGGAGACCTGTCGTTTTTTGCTCCGGTGGAGTCATCTCTTTTTCGGCTCCGGTGGAGTCCTGTCGTTTTCGGCTCCGGTGGAGTCATCTCGTTTTCGACTCCGGTGGAGTCATGTCGTTTTTTGCTCCTGTGGAGTCCTGTCGTTTTTTGCTCCGGTGGAGAGTCATCTCGTTTTTTACTCCGGTGGAGAGTATCTCGTTTTTTGCTCCGGTGGGTGGAGAGTCAACTACTAATTTTATTTATGTTTTCTTTTTGCGTTTATATTCAAATTTCTCGTCAAACTCAAGTTGGTTTCTGTTATACCACTTGAGTTTGAGGGGGGATGTTGAGATATTTTAGATATTCAGTTTTAGATTAAGTAGATTTATATTTAGATTTGATCTTATTCATAGATTAAATAACTTAAATTTGAGTCTATCGAGTCTGTTTTGTATTGCCTATATATAGGCTCCTTATTTTGATAATCAATAAGACAATCTCATTATTTTCCCCCAAAATTTCTAACAGATTTGATATTTTTGGGAGGAAAAAATGGAATCAATAGTGGAAATTAAATCCAATCCCCCAAACAAACACACCCCTAGGTGTAAAAGCTGTCGGTAGGAGCCCTGATCTCGTGCCTTAAATTGAGGGTGTGTTTTGACAGGGAGTTCGGGGAAAATTTGAATTTATATTTGGTTTTTATTTGAATTTTCAAATGGATTTGAATTTATATGTTTTTTTTCGTGTTTAGATTTAAGTTGAGTTTGAAAAATTTATATGTATGGATTTGATGGTTATAGATATAATATAAATGTATATTAATTTATATAATTTACTTATAAATTTATATTATAGCTATATATATTTCTAAATTTTTATTTATCTGCATTATAAAAATTTTTATTTTATACAAAATTATATAATATATATTATAAAAACGGTGAATTGGAGTTAAATCCCTCCTCATCATATTGATTTGGGATTCAGCCCCTAATCAATATACATTTGTCTGCACTCCTCTTTTTTTTTATTCGTTCTTCTTCCTCCCTACTTGTTTTTTTCTTCCTTCTGTTTCTTTTCGCGCGAAAAATTCTTCTCAATCCGTTGTCCTCTTCCGTGAGCTCAAAAGCCACATCCCGCGCAGGTAAGGTTCATTTCTCTCCCATTCCTTAATTGTTCGCCCGATTTTATATCGCCGGTTGTTGTCTGGTTCGATTGGAAAACTCCCTAGGACACTCTCCGGCTCTGGTTCCCTGTCGTCGGTGGTCGGTTGATTCGGTTGAAGAACTCCCGAAGGCTGTCACCGGAAATCTTCAAATCGACACTACTTTCTGGTTGGCCTGGGTCCACGGTTGCCGTCCTTGGATCGTCCTCCGCAGTGGCCCGTCTTCGTTGTTCTCCGGTGAAATTAGCTTTACCAGGTGTGTTGTTGTATCGATATCTATTGGATTAGTTGGAAAATTTTTATTTGGAAGAAAATGTTTGGGTATTATTTTGGGTGATTTTGATAATAAATTCCGTTGCTATTTAGGGTTTAGGGGTAATATTTATTTTGTGAAATGGGTAATTTGTTGCTATTGAGGATCAAGACATTACTAAAATTCCGTAAGAACATATGATTTTAGCGTATTCTGCGTAAGATTTTCTAATCTCCCATACGACCTAATATAGTTCATACATCCATTGGTTGGATCATTAGGTTTCGATGGATATGGAGCAAAGTAGTCTAAAATTATTAATTATCTGTTCCTACGAAGGTGAGCATCATGTAATTGGTTCAGAAGAGGGCACCATGTTGGAGTATCTTTACCGGAATCTATTGAAAAGATGAAATAAGGTGAGTATTAAGGCAGTAAAACTTCAATATATTGCACCTATTCAAAAAAGCTACGTGACGTCATTGTGTGACGATGATGTCGCCAATATGTGGAGAATGCATATCTTGTTAAATGTAATGTTTGTGGATATGATTGAACAGTGTAGGAGCGAGCACCAGAGCGTGCCTCTCCGAAGTACGGTTGGACGTAGATACGTTACTCATCATTTGTAATTAAGTAGTCTTTATTCAACTTTGTTATAGAATACAGTCATAATTGTGCCTTATGAAAGAATGCAGTCTGTAAGCACTTATAAATTCATGTTCAACACATCTAAAAACATGTTGTTTATAGGTTACGTTAGTAATAATTCTTTCATGATATTGGCATACAACAATACCGTAGTATATTGTTGCGATGTTGTTTGTAGGTAGTAAGTATCCACCTCCGCAATTTTGTAGTAGCGCGGTGCAGAACGAACCACTGAAGAGATTGTAAAGATATGTAGCGGGGATATAACGTCTTGAAGGTATTTAAAAATGTTCTTTCCTTCTTTACACGCCACTGCCAATATCCTCTAGCAATCCGGTTTAGGTAGGTGTACCATAATCGATGCGTTGAAATTTTTGTAGCCCGTGGCATTTACTGCATCACGTAGCTTGCTGCGGTAAATAGATGCAGTTGTTCTTTTAAATACCCTAGATGACATGATAGGTAACCGTATACACTGTGGACATACTCAGTTGAGTAAGATGGGTACCCATGTTTTTCTATTTACAAAGAAAAGATTTATTACCATATAGAATTAGAAATACTTACATCTGACATAATTTTCATTCTTATTATTGTATTTGTAATGTAGGGGTGAGGCCGAATGTTCGGGATTGAACAAAGATGGCGCATGTGGTATCTTTATTCCCGACGAAAGAACTAGTCTAATTGCAATGCAGAGATGCATTGTCAGGGAAGGTCGGACATTCAAGGGACCGCAGGAGTTTAGAAAGTTATTGAAGAATTATTCTATTGACACTTAGAAACACTTCAAGTAACAAAAGAATGATTTGAGCAAAATTATTGTGGGGTGGATCGACAAAGGTTGTGGTTGGCGTATTTATGCATCATTCCATGCTCGTGGTGCGTCATTCAACATTCGTAAGTGCAATTTACATCACAAATGTACTATGAGTCTATTGCAATCAAGAGATCATCTAGCAGCCGATGTGAACTGAATTTCTAAAGTCTACAAAGATAAGATAAGCTCTATGCTAGCGTATAAGGCATCCGACATCCGGGAGCATATCCAAATAGATTATGGGATTGACGTGAAATATCATAAAGCATGGCGTGGCAAGGAGAATGCGATAAGGGCAATTAATGGTGGAGGTAAAGACAGTTTCTCACAACTTTCTTGGTACTGTCATGCACTTCGGGAGTCAAATCCGGGAAGTATTATAGACTGCGAAATTGAGTAGGCAACCAAACGTTTCCAGCTCCTTTTTGTTTGTTAGGTGCATGCTGGCTGGGTTTTTTTGAGGAGTTCCAGGCCCCTACTCTTTCTTGATGGGACGCATATAAAAACCAAACACAAAGGATGTCTGCTAAGTGCAATCGCAGTGGATGGGGATGATGGGATGTTTAATTTAGCATTTTATGGTACGTAATTTGATATTAGCTACAGTTGTCATTTTGTTAGAATGTTGGGTATAGCTGTTCATGTGTGTTGTTTTCCATGCGATCTCTTGTTTGTTAAATATTTACGTGCAATATTGTTTCGAATACCCTTACAGTATTCCGATATGCTCTCTTTAGGCACATATGTACCCTTATACGCTGGAAACATTTGTAGTTATTTGTGTTCTTATTTGTTGACTTGCAGCGGTGTCTACGGAAAATGATGAAAATTGGGAGTGATTTTGTTGGAAGCTGCGAACTGTTTTAGAATGTGAGGGACGTACGGATTGGAAACAGTACACATTCTTCTTGGATCGGCACTCGGGTTTACTAAAGTCAATCCCGTGCGTCTTTCCCGGAGCACATCATGCGTACTGTCTCCGATACTTAGTGGACAACTTCCGTACCCAGGTATATGTACGTCAATATTAATTTGTAATGAACATCACTGGTTATGATCAGCCAACAAATGTCTGTTTTTTTAGGTTATGCGGAGATACCCAATGCATAATAAGAAACGATGGACTGTTGTCTTCAACAAGGCCACCTATGCTCCGTTGAGGAGATACTTCGAAAACCACATTAGTTCTGTGGTCAAATCAATGCCATTGGCCCGAGACTTCAATACCCAATCACACCCAGAATGTTGGGCAAATTTACTATTCAGAGGCACTCGTTGGGGAATAATAAATAATAATATTGCTGAGTCAGAGAATAGTTGGGTAAGATCCGCGAGGTCAATGCCATTCGTTGGGATGTTGGATACCATTAGAAGACAAGTCGGAGATAATGCACGGAAGGCTCTGTCCAAAACAGGAGAGCAAGTTGGCACTGTTGTACAAGGCGTCTCAACAGCTACATTGCAGTTCATCCTCTAGAACTGTATTCAAGGTAATATATTTGTAATGAAAGATACGCAGTCGATTTGAAGGCGGGAAAATGCTCGTGTCGAGAATGGAAAATGTTCAGACTGCTCTGCAAGCATGCCTGCGCTTGCATTGAAAAATGCAATATGTCAATTTATGATTTTTGCGATCTTTACTATAGCATTGAATGCTACAGAAAACGTACCAGGAACCAATAAATCCCGTACCGACGCATGATATGGACGTTATTGTTGAAATTCAGGTGGACCGAATTCACCCTCCTCCGTCGTCCATCCAACCAGGCCGGCCAAATAAGCGAAGGTTCGAGTCCCAACAAGTAAAGAATCCACAAAAATGTGGTCGTTGTGGGAGTCTCGGACATAATAGAAGAAGCTGCAAGCAACGAATAGATTAGCGAACCTTTCTTTTATTGTTTATCTTTTTGGCTTCTAGGAGTATATATTAAGACAGTAGGTATTGTAATTGCTTTTTGTGTCTCTAGGATGTAACCGGTTGGATCCACCGACTTATTTGCAGTAGCAAGTGGTATGTAGCCCTCTCACGCAGGTATATAATGAAGATGTAGAGGTTCGTAGTTATATTCTGCAGGTATATTTTTCATGTACTGAGGCATTTGATGATGTAGCTTTATAGGGAGGGATGGTTAATGTAATATCTAATTGTTTCGAAGGTACATGATATTCTATTTTTTGGTTATTACTAGGAGTTATAGTTGTTGATTAAATCTCGTCGTTGTTGCTATGTGCAACTAGTTCTTACACATCGTAACCTCGTACCCGAATAGGACTGAGCCATGTATAAATAGTTTGGCTTGTATGAAACTCGTCATACTAACCAACTGCATATGTTATACAACTTAAGGATTTTTTGATGCATTATTTAACCATCAGTAGTAAATACATGCTATTTCAAGTAAAAAAAAGACCGTTTCCCCAGCCACAGGTAACCAGGGCATACATAATCGCAACTGAAGTATAATGTCACGGTTGTTGTAAGTACACAGTAACTTACGGAGGGTATACACATTAATGATTCAACATATAGGGTTGTAGTCCGAGTACAAAGTAGATCTCTTGTTGTTTTTACGGTATTTAAATTGTATTTATCATGTAATAACTTGGAGGTGTAGTATTGATTAAAATTCGGCACACAGCTAAGTACCAGAATTCCACGTGCCACACAACTATATTGTGGTTATATTACCATGTCTATTCCATTGCGTTCTAATTCAATTAACGGGTAAGCGCTGTAAGTTTTATCTGTGGCCTAAAACACGCCATTAAAGATTATGGGGTTGACGAGAAACACTACTATGGTTAAGCCAATACACTCTTAGCGTCATTTGGTGAATATTTCAAGAGAAAAGGCCGAGTCCCCACCCACAGGATACCAAGTATAAAAACTATTGTCGTAGGTATATAATAGATAATATAAGGTATTTGTATTAATGACTCCGTTACGTATGCATCTGCGCCGAGTACAGGACTCGCTGAGAGAGGTACACAGATTGCGAACGCGGGTATCAGTGTTGTAGTTGTAGGTATCCTAGTTGTAGGTATAGTAGCACTTATCTATAACCACATGTTGTTTAGCACTCCGCAGGAAATAGTTGTTGTAATATGCACTTATAATTGTTGATTAGACGTTGGCACACACGCAATTACCAGACACCCATGTCCCGCATAAATATTTTGTTGTTATATTATCATGTTGTTTTTATAGTGTTTGATTTCAATTAACGGGCAAGCCCTTGCAGTTACCGGTCGATTAAAACATGGCGTCCATTAGGGTTTCATGAGAAACGCTGACACGGTTGAACTGATTTAAAGTGAATGTTATTTCAGTGATCAGTGCAAAAGAAAAGGCCAGTCCCACAAACGCAAGTGACTGGAGCATGTAATGTATAAATGGAAGTACATGCTAGTTTAACGTAGGTACATAAAAACTATCAACGGGTATCGCCACACAACGTATGTATATATGAAGATGCCAAATCCATCCACATAAAAGACATTTACCAATTCCATTACCTCGATACACAACACAATAACTTCCCAGATCAATCCAAATTGAAGACATTAAACAAATCCATCACCTTGCCACACAACGCAAGAACTTTCCAAATCAATCCAAATTCATTATATGTGTTAACTTGCCCTGTTTTTCCATCGGGGTCTACGCCTCAGAGGGGGGATCTTTCAATATCCTCGCCGCAATCGTACCTCGATAGCTCTTGACATTGCCGAAGTCCTCGCCGAGGACGCCCACGAGATTGACATCTGGACCCGCCCGTGCATAACACTCTGCGAACATTCAGACTAAAGGTCCACAGTCCAGCGTTTCACCTTAGTGTCGGCATCGAATGTACTGACCATAGGCCATAGTCGTGACGCGTTCATGTACAACAATAAAAATCACGTCTGCACAAATAACGTTACTCTTTCGTTAAGGAATTCAGCCTACCCATAGGCAATTAATTATAATCATTCCACAGACGTATCAATTTCTTTGCATTCCCCTGGCCGAAGGGGTCGCGCATTGAGTTACAGTCCAACACAACGCGTTTGATGGTATCCAATATGCAGAGATGCCAGTGGAACCGGGTGTATATGGGTAGAAATATGTACCGGCACCCAGACTAGATTTTGTCCATGATTCCGGTAATCTCTTGGCCTACGGTCACTTGCAGCGAGTTGGCAAACGCGAGCACATTACCCCTATTGATGATCGGCTTTTTCGCTCCTCGGTTTGGTCATGATAGCGCGTCGTTCACGGCTTTCTGAAAATCAAACAAAGTAACCAAAGCAATAATAACAGTGTGATTTGTAATACTAACTGTATAAATTCCAAATAGGATACTCACCGCTACGAACCATGGCACACAACCACACCGCACCTGCGGATTGTGTTGGAGATGGTATTCATTGCTGCATAGATGATGTAGGTACGCGTCGATGACTTCGCCTTTCACAGCTTCATCAAACAGTAGTTCTAGAACGGAATCGGACGAGACAGACACGACGCCCTGCTGCCATACAATGTCCCTACAAGATGATAGCCATAAACGGATAAAAACATCAATGGAGAAAAATATATAAAGCCTTAATAGTGAATAGCAATACTGGACGGCGAATGACGCGAAAAATTGTTCAATGGTGTTCGTCTCATCCTCAGATAAGGTACCCTTCCCACAGTAGCTGTCGTTATTACGATATCCCTCCCACTTTTGTGCTTCAAGTTCTGCTCCAACCGCAGCATCCGAGTCCCCATCGTCGCCGACAACAAATGGTTCCTGAACCAACAATGAAGATAGTCATGTTTCCGTAGGTATCTGTATTTATTGTACAAGTATTGACTTATAAACTCTGGGCATTTAAGAATCTATCCGAAGTATTTTAAGCCAGACGACTGATATTTGTATTAAACTACGTACCTGCTCATTATTGACGTCGGCCGCTGACTTTCCTTTCGCCCTCCGTGATTTTTTGGCTTTCTTAATTCGCGGTGTCGACACAGGTGTCACAAATTCAGGCTTCTTCTTTCTCTTCCGATCCTTACGCGCCATTACACAACGTACGATTGATGAATCTGCGGCTCTGCTACAGGTCTCACGGTTGGATTCATCGGCCGGCTACGATTTCAACAGAGCAAACAATCATTCAACAGATAGACAACTATGACCTACAAAATGTACTTACTATATTAATTAACTTACCTTGACATCTATTAGTGCAATATACGGAACAATGGCCATCAGTTGGTTAAACTCTTGCAGGCTACCAACCCCTTCATAATCCGACTCGTTTATCGGATCAATTTCGGCCAAAAGGATGTCCATTTTGTTTTTGCTTCGTCGCTCGGTATTCATTCGCTCTTCCACTGCCTCGTCGGGATCCTCCTCAGCTTGACTCTTCTCCTCCTCAGTTTTCTTCTCCTCCTCCTGACCCTGTTTCTCCTCCCCGTGGGCCTGCTTCTCTTCCTTCTCACCGTGCTTCTCTTCCTCCAAGTCCTCATCGGTCTGATCTTCCTCATCCTCGTGCAGTTGTTTCCTCTCTAACTCCACATCCATCCGGTCTGCTGTCTCTTCCTCCCCATAGTCTGCGTCATGCTCCTCGTCGCCATCACTTTCATCCTCGCACTCACCTTCACTGTCATCATCGAAAACACCAGCTCTAGCTCTTTGCAATTTACGAGCAAGTCTAGCAATTGCAACGTCTTTCTTCCGCAGCTCCACCTTCAATGCCGCAATTTGCTGAGCTGCTTCCTGCAACATATGTTAATAATTTCATATAAGAAATTATTTTATCCATTTACAATGATAGAAACATTGAATAATGCATTTAACTCCGAAGCATGGCAAATTGCACGAAAAAACTTCTCTTCGGTGCCTATTCGATAAAATTCCTGAATATCCGACTGCTTCAGAGATGACAATTCAGTCACTGCATGAACCCTGGACATCGGACCAAGGCTATTCAACCACCGAAAGAGACGCGGTACCTTCGGAAGGCACCGTGTCTTGTCCAAAGTTGGGACTCTCTCATTGAAAAGCCTGCACATAATAATAATCTCACTACTGCCAACAATAATAGTAATAGACATATTGTGCAATATACCAAAATAAGTATAAAAAATTAACAAATCCAATATTACATTGCTTACCAACAAACCAACTGTGCAGCCTGTCAAATATTTCTTTCCGGACTTAAAAGTCGCTTATAGACTTCAAGAGATATCGGTGACTTGCGGGTCCCCACGCATAGTCACCAATCGCAGTCAGGTTATCCACATACGGAAACAAAAAAAAGAGTACAGAATAATTCGCAGAACAAAATAAAATATTTGCAAAAACAAGCAAAATAAAAGAGATGGGCAATGTCCACAACAGATAGAGGCTCCAGCCCCTGCAATGAAACCTCACGCAGCTTCTGCAACACCTTGCCATGGCTTATAGAACGCGTCTTGCTCCCAAAAATCCGAACAAACCATTCGCTTTCGACTGATGTGTTTTCAGTCATGTAGACTCCTTTCGCATGTAGTCTTAAGACTACAGAATATTCCTGAACTTCAAACGGCAGCTCAATGTCACTTCCGATCTTGAACGACATAGACTCCGAACTAAAGTAATTAACGAGGGCAAGAAGACGATGCCACGGAAACTTCATTTTCGGGCAATCCAAAAAATGCCCGAACGGAGTAATTTTTATGGCTGTGATGTGTTCGTCCATCATGTGGTTCTTAAGTTTCCCACCTCATTGTGAAAAAATGGTAATGCAAATCGGCTGATTACTGATTTGTACTCCTTCCCTGGCCTATAAGTAAATACCATCAGTCCACGTTATCCAAATCTCTAATTTAGTTAAAAGTTCATCACAATTTATCAGGAGTAAAAACACATTCCGAGTATACAATAGTCCTCTACAAGTATATTACTTAGCAAATTAGACCAAATAAATGAAACTCCTGGTACCTAATAACATCGCATTTGTCAACCCACAAATATGACTAATTACCGAACAATCTAACAAAAAAACTAAAATATGTAACTTCGAGTAACTAAACAAAATATACATCTTCACAATTAAAAAAATCAAAGATAAAACAAATAAAATCACCCAAAATCGATGCCAAAATAGAACACTGAACCGGGTTTCCTGGCAAAAAATTTGAATAATTTCAAACCCGTTGAACAAACACAAGACCAAACATCCAGGGCTCCTCATCACTGAACCGAGACATACAAACACGGGACCAATGCTTCTACCCCAAACAATCGAATAAACTACAGTATAAAATCCAATTGTCAACAAAATCATAAATCGAAAAGGGCTTCGACAAAACACTTACTTATTCGAACTCGTCTTGGGGGATCGAGGCGGATTGCCTGTTTTCCTCACCATTTCGCTGAACGAATGCGTTACTGCTTGATCGTCGAGAGGTTCGCGAGGGTCGATTTGCTTCTTGAAGAACTAGGGCTTGGACGGAGAGTGAGGAAATTAGGTGAGGTTTCAACTCTTAAATTGTGCGTATTTTCTTTTTTTAAAAAAAAATTACAAAATAAGGTACACGGTATTTAAATGGAAGTATCTAATCGTATACTGGGGTTAGAGCGGGAGGTAATGTATGTATATATTATAAAATTTGAAGTATTTATTAAACAATCGTAAGTATACATTGCATATACAACGGTGATTGAATGGAAAATACAAAAAGGGAATTATAACATATCTAATCAATAAAGTACGTACTGCAATTCAATTAATTTACAATGGAGGCTGAATTGCAACTATATTAAATTGACAGAGATTTTAGTCCAACTCTCCCTCATAAAAATTTTAATTTATAATTATAATTTAAATTTTAAAAAAATAAAAAACAAAAACATGTCAAACATCTACCCAGAAACCGTATAAATCAGCCCAAACCTGGGCTCAAAAAACACACCTTGAGACCTGAGTGCAGAGTAAAAGAACATTAAATTTGGAAAACTAATTGCTAAAGAAATAGGTTTTTTACTATATTTGGAAAACTAATTGCCAAAGAAATATACTCAAATCTAATAACTAACGTTCGAACTTGAGTACTTAGGATATCAAATATCATATCATATATATATATATAAAAGAACTCAATGTGAATCCCACTTTTTTTAAAAAAATTTTTGCAATTTTGAGATTTTTTTTTATTTATTTTTTTTTCTTTTATAATTTTTTTATATAATAGTGAATATATTATTTTTACATAACAGTGGAGATAAAATTTATTTTATATAACAATGAAGATATAGTTTTTTACAGAGTAATTTTTATGGAGAAGAAAGATCTGAAACTCTCTTTCTATTAGAGAAGATTGCCATCGGGAGAAAAAGATTTCTTCAAATAAGTTTCCAATAAAGTTTTTTTCAATTTTTGCATAGTTTTTTTTATACAGTGTTTTTTTCTTTATGGCAGAAGCAACCGAAAGTTTTTGAGCCGTGTTTTTTTTTGTGAAAGCAAAATACTTTTATTGGAAAAGATTGTCACCGTGAGCATAAATCCGTTTTCTTGAAATAAGTTTTTGAATAAATTTTCATTGATGAATTATCCAATTTGATAGCGAAAATTTATCTCATTCTTTTACTCTTTTATTTATTTATTTATTTATTTTACCTTTTTTCATTCTTTATCAATAAAGTTACTATTTTTATTATACAGAATATTTTTATAGGTATAAATATAAAAACTTTGTTACTAAAATTTTATTTATTTATTTATGAATTACTTTAATATATTTTTATGGATTCAGATTTTTTTTACTATTTTTCACTTTATATTTTTGTTATATTTATTTCTTTAGATTTAGATTTTTTTTTTTATATTTTTCACTTTATATTTTTATTATATTTAACTTTTTGGATTTAGATTTTTTTTTTCATTTTTCACTTTATATTTTTGTTATATTAATTTTTTTGGATCTAGATTTTCTTTTTTTTTTTTTATTATTTTTATTTTTCACTTTTTATTAGTAAAGTTATAGTTTATTATTATTTTCACGTGTATATATATAATATTTTTTTTGAATTTAAATTATAATAGGATAATTTGTAATATTTATGCCTATAAATATGAAATTTTGTGACTAAAATTTTATTTATTTATTTATGAATTACTTTATTAATTATGAAACAAAAATTAAATATATTTATTTTTGTAATATTAAATATATAAATTTTATATCACATATATACTAAAATTGATGTATTAATTTGTAGATATATTTTAGCAGTATATTTAATTTTTATAAATGAGATGGTTTTGTAGATAATTTTTATAAATGAGGTAATTTGACCGTTTTCTTAAAATATGGTTTTAAGTGGGTTTTTAATTGAGTGTTAGTGGAAAAAATTAATTTTTAAAGTGTGTTTCTAAATGTGCTAAGTAATCACATTTTTTTTTTTTTTTTTTTGTAGAATTTTCATTCTATTTTTCAAATAATTTTTCTTAATTCTTTTTCATATTCTCTCAATTTTTTAGATTGTTCTGATACTTCTTTTTATTCATTATAGTTTCTTTTATATATATATATATATATATATTATAACTTTTAGATTTTTTTTTGTCATTTTTCTAAAATGTTTATTTTGATGTATTTTTTTAATGCACAGAGCAAAAGCCAGAAAATTGAGATCCAAAAAGACTGCCTTCTAAACATCAGAAGTTGTTTGCTGGATGATTCACTCGCTTTTATTTTTAAATTTTGTTTGGGTTTATTGATTTATTTCCGGTGCCTAATATTTTCTTTTCACTAGGTTATATTTAGTGCATTGAGAGAAGATTTTTTTGGACACTGAAATTGAAAATTTGAATTTATTTATGGTTATTCTTTTTCATTTTGTATTTAATTTCTTACAACTGGTTGTAGCATGCAAAAGAAAAAACGTGAATAAAGAAGAAGATAAATAAAAGAAGATAAATGTTGGTGGTTAGCTATAGAGTTTGATGGTTTCTTATTTGTAAGATATAAAAATTATTTTAATATGCATAGGAATATTTAAGTTTAATTTAAATTTTTATTTGTAATTGATTATAATTTATATTCAGTTATATTTTATTTATATTTTTTCATCGTTGAGTTACAATTTTGTTATTAAAGCATATTGTTGATGTATTTTTTCAACAATAAAAAATAAAACTCAAAAATAGGAAATTATCTTCGAATTTGATATAATTAGTGCCTGAGATTAGGAATCTCTATACACTGTACGGTACAGAAAATAAAATAGGAAATTAAAACTACAGACTGGAAAATAAAGTGGTGATCCCCAAAAGCAATTCTCTTGAATTTGATGTCGATTGAAGATGATCTGTCAATTGCTGATCCAAATCCTTGAATATTCCTCAGAAGAGACGTTTCGGAACCGTCGCCAGCAACCGCCGTTAACCGCCCACAACGAAACGTTTTGAAACGTCGTCTGGTCGGTTATGGCAATCGTCTCGCAACCGCATAACCCAACCGACCAATCCAGAGACTAATTGATCGGTAGACCAATCGATTCCTTGGTCCCCCCATCAAGCGACCACCCTCTGGTCTTTCCAGACGAGTCAAAGGTTGCCCCAACCAAGCGACTGAACTACTGTTCACTTAATTAGACGACTAATTAACAGCCCTTTTTCGCCTGGTCCAAACTCCGTACTGGCCGACTCAAACGATCGCGGACCAACCGACTGTGAACCAACCGACTGCAAACCATCCCATCCGACTGCAGACCATCCGACCTGCCTATCCGACAACGGACTTTCCGACCTGCCTATCCGACCGCGAACCTTCGACCTGCCTATCCGACCGATGACCAACCGACCTGCTTATTTGACTGCAGACCAACAGACCGGATCAACCGACCGTGGACCAACCGACCTGAGTGCATATTTTCTCCTTTTCCGCCCGACTTCGTGTCCTAACTTCCTTTAAGATCCTGTTATCATTATTATTATTATTATTATTATTATTATTATTATTATTATTTTTTGTGCGTAACAAGTTGCCTCATCTGCAAGATTCCTAAGCGTCATTTTCTCATGATGTTTAGGAGTTAGCAGGCCGTCATCCGAGGCCACATCAGCCTCAGATCCGACCTCCATCTTTCGAGGCTACGTTGGACGCGACCTTCATTTATCGCGAACTAGTGCTGGCCTTCGCGTTGGTCGATCTTGCACTACCATTTCTTCAGCACGTCCCCCCTGATAAAAGCGGTGATCGTTCTCTCTGAAAAAAGGATTCTAAACTCCCTGCCTTGGATGCTAAACTGGCCAGATCTTGAATGTCGTGGGCCGTTAAAGCCTCCCGCAGTTGTGTATGCATATTTCGGACCACCAAATTGGTTATCTCGCTCTCCTCAATGATTTTCGGGCAACGTCCCTTCATTAATCGCATCCGCTCTATGAATTGGTAAGCGGTCTCCTCCGGCATTTGCCTGATCTCCAAAAGGTCTGTGAGTGAGACTACTGGAAGAGGATTAAAGAACCTTGCATGAAATGCCGCTTCCAAACCTTCCCAGGTTTGTATTTGTCCAGGTGGTAGATCGACAAACCACGAAAACGCTGTTCTAGTAAGAGACAAACCAAATAGTTGC